TGATGAAAAGTGCTTGCCTAAAATATATGACAACCTGAGTTCTGTAGAGACGAAAAAAAGGAACCAATTAATCATATAAGAACTCTATAATAATATCTTGAATACAGAAAATGCCAGAGGAAAAGTGAAAATAATTACTAACCTGTGTTCTGCCTCAAGTGAACTGGAAAGAACATCAGTTTGTAGGAAGGTTGAAGACCGAATGATCTGTTGGGAAATCATTGAGGCATTGCCATTCTCTTGTGCAATCTCATTTTCATCAAAGTTTCTATTTATGTCTCTTTCTTGGTGAGTACTATTGCTGTTATGCAAATTAAACGAGTCTTCATCCTGATTTTTGAGCCAGCATGGCTCTCGTCTTCATGTTCCTCTTCTACTCTGTCTCTTTTCAATGCTTTCAAAAATTCACTCTTCCTATCAGTGCGCATCCGTGTCAGTTTGGTTAATCGAGGTTGCTGATTAAGTTTGTCAACAGGCAAGGAGGAATTTGAGCGATTACTCTCTTTTACTGAATTTGTTGATGGACTGATATTCTTGGCTGTTGACTTAAAGGTATTAAAGTTGTCAACACCATATGTAGATTCATGAGGAAAAGAAGTTCCGACTTTATTTTCTTTAGTTTGGCTTTTCCATTGTGTAGGTTTTGTAGGTGGAGCAGCAGGTTTTGGGACTAAGCCTTTATAAACACTTGGACCAGTTCCATTCTTTACTGGCTGTGACTGGAGGTTTCCTGCTACTGGGAATACAGATAATTGTAAGTCTTTTGCATTACCTTTCTTAATGACTAGCATTCTTGGAGCTCTAGATTTAGGATTCGGGGGATATTCTAAGAGAGGAGCTTGGGAGATTTTTTTGGTTGGGTATGTGTGTGTCTGGGCGTGTAGGCCCCAAACACCTGCAGCTAAAGATTTATTCTGATTTGGTTCTCTTTCATATTCAGGATTTAAAGATGGAAAATCCTCAGCCTCAAACTGTTTTCGTTCTCTTTTGTCTTCTTTCCTCCCAGTGTCATTGTCAGGGATGCTGTTTTCATGTAGTCCTTGGCTTTTTCCAGAATGGAAAATACTGCTACGAGAACGGGAATTTCCACCATGGTATCCCCCTCGATGATTTATGTTTTCAGTAGCATTTCTGCCATGCGTACGCCATCCATTTTTTTCTTTCCTCCCAAAATTACCTCCATTAGGACGCCCAATACCAGAATCAAAGCCATCTGAAGAGTGTGTCGTTGGCGACTCACATCATAACGATTCTCTGTCCATGAAAAGTTTTCAGAATGCTTTTCAAAATTCAATGATGACTTTGTTGATGATGGCGGAGTAGGAAAATTAAGCCAGGCTGGAGCAAAGTCATACTGCGCCATTTAGGTCCAGTCTCTCCAACTCAGTGAAACAAGGCTTCAACACCTCATGGCAAGTCCAAATTCCAACAGGACCGCACAGGAAGGTGTTGGTTTTTTCTCTATAATCTTTATGTTTTCCAGTTTGTCTTTTTATTTTGTATCCTCTGAAATATCCAAGTTCTTTGAAGATACTTAACCTATGACTATTTGACATAGAGTTATTTGAAGTCAGCTACCCATATTTCTGTTTTGAAGTTTTCATAGGGCTATCTCCAGAATTATCCAAGTTCTTGGATCAAGAGCAAAGTCTTCTTTATTATTCCATGTACTTGTCACTGTTGTATTTATCCACTCCAGATGAAATATCCAATTTAGGAGCCAAAAAAGCAGAAACAAAAAGAAAATTTCACATCTGAAGACTACTTCTACACATCGGCATATACAGAGACACAAAGAGCTATCTCAATACTACCATGCTGGTGGGAAACTGGAACATCTTAAATTCCCAAGTAAATAAAAGATAAAAAGAAAAAAACTCTGTATTCTTTCAATGTCTTCATTTAGAAAAACTGTCCCATTGTAATATGAAGAGCTGAGGTCAAAAATTACTAAAACTTTTAATAAAGGTTAAAAAGTAACTGCCATGAAACTTCAGCAATATTTAAACAGTAATTTGAAACTACTGCAACTACTCAGGACACAAATCAAACTTATCTTACAGTTTTGGCCGAAGAACAGCAACAGGAGAGGGGTGGTGGAAGAGGAAAAAAATACCGCCAGACGAAATACTTTAACCAGTTATATAATCCGTTTGAACCAAAACACTGAAGAAATGACTGGATCTCTTTTTAAGTAGCTCGTAGAACTTGTTCACTACTATCAGTTCACTTCAGAGATGATTCTTGACAATTTTAATAAACTTCTGGGGCAAAATTACCCCAAAAATAATAAAACAAAACCCCAAAACAAAACTGTAATTCCAAAATGGCCACTTGAAATATCCAGGGCCTTTTAAACAAAACCTAGAAGATGATCTTCATATTTGCATAATTCAATCACCTTCCGCCCCACCAGAGGTGCCCCTGGCCTGGGGATGCCGCTGCGCTCGATCCGGGAGGAGGTTTTCGGTACTTTGAATAATCCCCTTTTACCGCTTTTCCCTCCCCCACAACCAGTCTCAGTCCCAAAATGGCGCCGACCCGATCCGCAATGTTCTAGGCCAAGTCTCGCGAGATCGTGGAAGGTGGTGAGGCCGATGCTATAACTTTTATACTGTATTCTTTTTCTCCTGTGACAACTTTCATGATCTCTTTAGTTATACTGAAAGGGCCATAATATGCCGGTTTTCTTTTGGTAGAGCACTGGCAGATCTCCTTCAGGGTAGATTTTTTTTATCTAGGGTGATTGTTTGCACCAAGAAGAGACCTCTTAGTTTCTGCTGTAGGAAAATGCCTCACTGTGGGGTGTGGGCTGTTTTTACTACAGTATACATGATCCAATACAGTGCCTCTGTTTGGAGGACTGCCTGGTATGCTCAAACCTGGAGCCTTGCTACTTTTATTTACTCAAGACTGCAAGCATGTATGTCCATGAGGACCAGGCAGAAGTGACTGCCATTTCCCAGAGGCTGTTTCTGCTTTCGACTCTGTGCTAGGTGGCACCCATGATATCCATTTATATCTTCATGTACTGGCTTTCTCCACTTTGCGAAGTGACTCCTGTACTCTACTTACCACAAACACTGGCCTCTGCTGCTCCCTTTCTCATGTTACACACTGACGGACATCCTGGCATAGTTCAAGCAGCAGACATGAACGCACACTTCCAGGTTTCCAGGTTCACCACTTCTGTGAACTCTTTAAGTGTTCAGCTTTCAATTTCAGTACTATTAGTACGACTTCCTGTCTAGTTCAAGCATATAAGCTCCCTGAGAACGACTTTCACCCTTCACCTCCTCTTGAGATCCAGAGTATAGAGCTGGAGGCAATTGCTTGGCTTATTGATGAACCTTCTATGGTTGTCATCAGCAAAGTAATTTTTCATATAAACATTATGCATATTTGCTCTCATGGGTTGAAATGCAGTTTATCCCAGAAATTTTTAGAAAAGAAATTGATACAGCTAGGCAGAAGTGCTCAACAAGTTGCCAGTAATAAGACACAGTTAAAGAGTATTTGTGGGCATATTTCATCCATTATATACTGTCTGATCTTGTACCAAGAAAGATTTAAAGTGGCTTCAAGTTGCATTCAGATAGGAAAAAAAAGCCAATTGAGTATGCAGCTGTCTGTAGACCTGAAACTGTCACTGTAAAGTCTCTGCAACACTATTTTCTTTGTCCATCACAAGGCAACTGACCAAACCCTGCTGCTGAAGCAGATGCCCCTTAGTAACACAAATATGAATAATTAGTCAAGCACATAGTTACAGTTCAGTGTTCACCACTAGGGGAGACTCATGCTCACAGGAGTGTGTAGTTTAAAGAACCATGACTGAAAACTTGTTCTCAGAGAGTCACATACAGAGCAGTGGTTTCACAACAGGAAGTACAGTGAGGGTTAAGAAGCCAACATGGGCACTGAGAAAGAAGGCATCTCAAGGAAGACAGTGACTGTCTCCAACATGAAGCACCCAGAAAAGTGAAGCCATTCATTTTTATTCATTAGAAACACAAGGGTCAAGACTGAATCTCCTCTCCCGAAAGTACTAATCAGGCATCTACATGCCAGCCATGTACTGACATCAAATCAGCTCTAGGAAGGCATGGGCCCTTTCTTCCCTTTGGTTGTAGTTTCTTCTAGCACGAAGAGGTAGAACCACAGAAGTGAGGTGGGCAAGCATAGGGGACACTTTAGCAACTCTGGTCCCCATCTGTCTTGGGCTATACACACACCACTCTTCTAGCACGTTTCTCCTCCCTTTAATGACTGTCAAACTTAGTTTCTATTCAAATGTATTCCTAGTACATCAGGTAGAAAAGGTAAGGGCCTGATCCAGCCTAAACTGGTTTGGGGTACATGCATAGTAAGACACATGTGTCCTCAAAGTTAACTTTTAGGGAGAATCTACTATTTACTATCTCATGCCTATGTATAACTTGACATGCAATTAATTAAAGTCAGATATTGGCATATGCCTTTAATCCCAGCACCCAGGAGATAGAGGCAGGCAGACCTCTGATCTACACGGTGAGTTCCAGACCAGCCAGAGCTACATAATGAGACCTGCCTTAGAAGAAAAGAAATCAGATGCATTATGGGAAAGGACACAGTGAGCAAAGGCTTATGTAATCTACCCTGCCAATCAAAATTAGAGAACTACCCAAATTACACCCCTAAGTAACTACCCTTCCTTTCCTTAAACCCCATAAAAGGTAGTCCTAAACAAGGGCTTGAATACTTTCCCATTCATGTGGCCTGCTGTTCTCTTGAGGTATATCTCCAATCTGTATTATTGCTTTGCTTTTGAATAAAGCTTCCTCACTACTCTGCAATCTGTGTGGGTTTTTATTTCATTCTTGAATAAGAAGACAAGTACCTGTATATACGCCAGCTTAGACCCCAGTAACAGAGGGACCCCTATGTTCTGGAGCCACAGGTCCTGGTACCTATGACCCTGAAAAGCAAGTTCCTGAATCTTTCCAAAGCTTGGTTTCCCAAACAAGTGTATTCAGAAACACTAACAACAGGTACAGCTCTATAGCACTGATTCATGGACCCTATTAGTTCATCAGATTCCTGACATGAAAACAATCAGTTCTGTTACTTCTGCAATTTTATTGATGAGGAAATACAGGCAGAGGTGGGATTTAAACTCAGACACTCTGCCACACACACTTATATTTAAGCATTCTCTTCATTCACAATTGCTTTGTCTTTGTGATAGGGGTCCCTTCCCAGGTGCTCACAGACACGTGTCCCCTGAGCCCAAAGCACTCTAGGTGCCTTATTCTCCAGCTCCCCACACAGAAAGAAAAGCCCAGAGTTGAGCTCTGTTCAGCATTCCTGGCACCTATATGATGGCCTTCTATCAACATTTACATCACTTATTTTTTACATGAGCAAAAAGTCATGTGCAGATATTTTAGTGTTACTTTTTTAAAAGCTTGTGTTCTAAAACATGCTTTAAGACAATATGGAAATGGCTACAATTCCAAGTTGCTGTCCAAGAGTAAAACTTGTAATAACTAAAGCAGATTGGGTCATCTGACACACAGGTAGGCTCAACCACCCCCGCCCCTTACTGCAAAGAGTCAGACACTTTAAGAGCCAGGATAAGTCTGCGTCTGTGTCGTTCCCCACAAACCCCTGATCACTAATGGGCTCAGAAAATGCTGCGAACCAATGAGAGGCTTTCTGAAATTATTACAGTGGGCAGGACCACTTCTTTAAACACAGCAATAGCAATTAAATTTTTATTTTTGTTGTAGAATTATAATAGGACTAGAAATAAAATTCTAAACTAGAAGCAGGGGATCGAGGTAAGTCAGCACACAAAGAGATGAAACTTCCCATGCTTGACCTAGCTAGGCTTCCAAGCTTCTGCATGTAGCCTTTAAATGCTCCACATCCTGAGATATCCAAACCACCTGAGACTTCCTGTCCTTCATCCTACAGCTCATCCTGAGTGAATGATGAAACAGCCTCCTGCTTATCTCACTTGGTCTACTTGCAGCTGAGACCCTGTGGCTTCCACTGCCTCCCTGGGACTGCCCTCCCTACTTCGCTCCTAGCAGGGAGACAAAAGAGAAGTCACCGCCCGCTGTAGTCCACCTTCCTCTCTGGCTGAATCTTCCAAGTCAAACAGAAACAGTGCCTCTTGCCAAGTCTTTGCCCTGCCTCACCAATCTCACATTTTCAAATGCCCCACGTACCCACCAGATGTGAAAATACATTGAAGACCAAAGGGAGAAAAGCAAAGAAGTCTTTTTATTAGACCGCCCACCAATTACTTCTAGAATGTATCTAAGAAAGGATTCTCCAAAGAAAATTCCTATTATAGTTGTCACACCTAACCAATCTATCCATTTCAGATGAGTAATTAAACACTGTAAAGTCTTTCATGAACACTGTGCCAAAACAGACATTAGACACCACAAGTCTCCATGTTAATCTTAAGAACAAGGCACATATGAGCTGCCCATATTTCTCTCTACTGTGAGACTCAACAGGTCAGAGGGAACAAGGCAGGATAGACAGCCTTGAGCTGTTCAAGATATTATAGGTGGTGGGGAAAAAAACTCAGGATTCCTAAATTCACACTGAAGAGAAATATACTGAAAATCTTGGTTGGTTTTCAAACAAAATTTAAAATATGCCATGCCAGATATATGGGGGAAAACTTAAAAATATATTTGCAATTTAAGATGACAAGAGCTTGATCCACACTCTGGTCTTACTCTAACTATATACCTTGGGTGAATTATTCTGCCTCTAAACCTAGGACTGCATGTGTGCCAAGGGAGGCTGCAGATATGGCCATATGCAGATAAGCCAACTCCCAGGGTAGCTACTCGAACTCATCTCCTCTGGCCTCTTCCCTGACACTAAGAATGAACTTACATGCTGTGGGGCCACACTGAGGACTCAGAAGAAGCTACAACTATAAGCTGTCAGGCATATGAAGCCTGCCTGAGATATTCTGTGAAATTACTTGGGGATTTTTCACATTTCCAGCCTGTCTAAAACTATTTCTGAGTTGAGTCCCAATGTCTTCCAATACCTCATTATATTTCTCTGGGTCATACAACAGCCCCAGTTTTGACAGTAAGTGCAATCAAGGACTTAGTCAAAAAGTAAACAGTACTTATTTCCTATACAGGTGAGAAATTTTCTACATTTGCTTTGCCCCGAGTCAGATGAGGTTGCCACACGAAACAACTGAAATTTCATCCTGAGCACCTTAGTCTAACTGTACAAACCTAACCCTTACTTCCACTATCATTTCCACCATCTTTTCAAGTACAGGGCTCTGCTGTATAACACCACAGGTTTGCTTTGTAATTTTCTGACTGCAATGTGTTTTTTAATTTTTATTATATGTACATGAGTATCTTGCCTGCATGTCTGTAAGTGCATCCGTGCTGTGCAATGCCCATGGAGGTCAGAGGAGGGTGTCGAACCCCCTAGAACTGGAGTTACAAACGGTTGTTAGCTGCCATGTGGGTGCTGGGAATCAAACCCAGGTCCTCTGCAAGAGCAATCAGTGCTCTTAACTGCTCAGCCATCTCTCCAGCCCCTGCCCACTGCAATATGTTAAATTGATTATCAACATATGAACTGTCAGAGTTTGGCATCTGCATTGAACTTTATCCTGTCTTGTCTTCTGTAAAGCTAAGAACTGAACCCAAGGACTCAGCAAGCTGGGTAAGTGATCTACCACTAAGCTACATCTCCAGCCACCATCTGACTTTGTTCTATATTACTGGGTAAGATACAAGTTCACTGCCAGGACCAGGGTTTCACCATTTTTTTCTCTCAGATTTTTTACACACACACACACACACACACACACACACACACACAAACAAAAACAAAAACAAAACATGAATTAATTCAAACTGGCACCATCCTCACTGATAGGTGATCAAACCCAACTCAGCTCAAACTCCAGAAATGTGGGCTCAGGGTAAGTTTAGTGATAGTTCCTCTCTAACAAGGAACCATACTCATTAAATGTTATTAAAAAATAGTAAGAAATTCAGCTGATGAAACTAATACTCGTGTGTGATCAACTATATAACAGACAACAGAGAGCAGCAACCTGTGTGTGACTCATCAACAGCATAGCTCACCTAGAATGCAGGAAACCCCCCTGTACTAATGAATGTCTTGTCTTCTCACCATTCAAGCTGGAAAGAACCCATGCGAAGTGACAGACTGGCAATACCAACTTCATGTGCCTCTCTCTCCTCTTCAGAATGTAACCTTGCATCTTGCCTCGGGTTTCCATGGGCACATGCTACAACCTAACTCCTCAGCACAAAAGAACTTGCCTAGGACAGGCATGTGTCCTTCAGCCTGAGTTAAAAGGAAGTCATATGTACCACCAGACACAGCTTCAGTGTCCAGGGATGAATTGCAGTGCAGTCATAAGGTAGTATTCTTGGGGAATGATGAAAACATGAGTAACTGGACACCTGCCTCTGAGGAAGCCTGGCAGTGGTTCACACAGAGATTCTGAATATAACAGTAATAGGTTTAGGTAAACCAGACAGCCAGCTTTATTTTCTAGATAAAATTGAACAAATGGCAACTGATTTGACTTTACATTCCCAAATAAAAGATCTAGCTTTTCCTTTTCAATGGACCCAAGACACAAAATTCACCAGCTTGAAAATTCTGCCAACCATGGGCAACTTTCTATCTCATAATCTAGCAGAGTATCTGCAGCTGGACTGAGATAAAGCCACCTCCATGTCAGCCACAGGAAACAACCACAGTAAGTCACTTCATGTGAAGGCATTTATATCAGAGCAGCTATCTTTAGCGACAGCAACAGATACTGGGGCCTTCAAAGTGAATTGTATAATAAATAAAATTCAACTAATTGAAATGTGCTAAGGTCCAAAATCATGTAATCCTTTGACAGGTCTGTCACTGATTAGTAATCATGTGACCAATTACCACTTCTATTCATCCAAATCAGAAATAAAAAGAGAAATGTCGGCCAGGCATGTTGGCGCACACCTTTAATCCCAGCACTCGGGAGGCAGAGGCAGGTGGGTCTCTGTGAGTTCAAGGCCAGCTTGGTCTACATAGTGAGTTCCAGGTCAGCTGGGGCTACAGGGAGACCCTGTCTCAAAAAGCCTCCCCCCCCAAAAAAAAGAGAAATGTCATCACAGATAAGAGACACCTGGTGCAGAAGCCTTGTTCAAAGCATAGCACACAGCTGAACGCTGAACACTTTGGCACTGACCTTGACTAGGCCAGTTCCTAGACTGCTCTCCTGATGCCCTGACAGCAAGGTAACTGTGGACAGCCTTACTGATCCTCTTTGGTATGACTGGAATTTAGTGGGCACAGGAATGGAAGGAGAGCACTCAGGGTCCAGCTGAAGCCAGAGATTGCCCTGTTATAGCTCTTCTTGCCATGTACAAATTCCGTAACACTCTGTACTTGCCTACAAGTGGGTAGTGTTTACTGTGTGCAGGAGACAAGAGAGCCACAGTTTATACCCCACTGCCATGGGGTGATGGACAGCATGCCAAACTATAGCTGCAGGGATTATTTCACAAGTAACACATAATAAAGACTGGGACCTAGGGCTGTCCTAACCAGAAGAACCAGGTAGGAAATCCTGCAAGAAGTAGCATTTGAGCTGAGCATTAAACAAAATTGGTACAGGCAAAATGCATCACATCCTCAGAATTCCTAACATGAAAAACCAGGAACAGGTCAGGGCAGCAAGAGGTGCAAGGGATGGTAGTGATGGAAGGCACATTCCATTACCTATATGGGATCACCTATGGTCTCCAGTAGAAACAACAAGGCTCATAAATTCTCACAACAGGCACTGCCCCTGTAGACCTGAGAGCAGTAGGAAAGAAAAGAAACTTGCCAACTGGCTCATACTAGTCCAATCTACACGCATGACTCAAATTAACTCAATCACAGCCTGAAGCTGGGCATGAATCCACCTAGCTGCTGAAGATAAATCGGGATGAGCTTGGAGTACTGAATTTGCAGAAATGACTCCATGCCAAGAAGCATTTCGTGACAGCCATGTAATAAGTGACACCTAGCCAACATACATATTATAGGAGAGTGGGACTATATTTGGATGGGAAAGTTTTACTATTTATAGTAACATTGAAATTTTGCCACTTTTCATTACCAAATAAGTCCTCTAAAAGTAGCAAAGACTCTCTATACAAGTTGATACTGTGTTACAAAGACACCCCTTGAAAACAGTGCTGGGTACCTGAATTTATTTTCTATTTTTGTAAATTTAATCTGGTTTAGAGATTAATGAAAGATGATTTGAAACAGACATTACTTTATTAAATCTGCAAGAGGAAAGTACCAAACAAGTTCCTCTAAGTAGCACCTTCTCTTAGAAAATGATTCTTAACCTATTTTTTTTTCCTGACTCCTTCCTTCCTTAATTCTCATTTGTCTTTATGGTTTCTAGCATACTGTTGCCCGTCAGGATTTAGGAGTGCATGCGGCACTGTGCTCAACAAAGAGAGACTATCCTGGCTGGTGCATCACCACAATTTCTCCTGTAGAGCTGACACCTTGAGCAGTGGGGAAAACCCTGCAGAAGACTGTGCCCTGAGCATTCTTGCGGGAAGAACCACAACCAGGCAGCTCTACCTCCTGCCAGCCTAACTTCACCCCATGGCAGTCCAGTTCACAGCCGTGTGTCCCAAACATCTCAGAAATGTTTCTGGAATGCTCTCTAGGAAAATCTTAACATTTTAAATGGTAAATAAAATTAAGTTCATTTGGCAAAAGCTCTCTACAGAAAAGTGTATACTAGCATAGGGGTGAAAGAGAAAATAAGATGTTTTCCCTACATATCCTATTGTGATAGACTTCCCTGCTTCAGAAACACCTGCTTTCCCAGGGAAATAAATCCTGGATGGTCAGTGAGCGCTCACACAGTGGCAACTTCTTAGAAAGTTATCTGTGAAATCTGTACTAACCAGAAACCAAATCCCCCATCCTAAAATACGACATCCTGACCCACATAAAGCAGGGCTGGACCATGTTCTTACTTGGAAAGGTGGGAGGATGAGGGAGGGAACACAGCTCTGTAAATCCACACTTCAAGGTTCTATTTTTGTTTTTACTGGTTTTTTTGCTGCTGTTGTGGGGGGAGGGTTGTTTTGTTTTTGAGACAGGGTCTCCCTGTAGCCCCAGCTGGCCTGGAACTCGCTATGTAGGCCATGCTGACCTTGATCTCACAATAATCTGCCTTCCTCTGCCTCCTGAGTGCTGCCATTAAAGGAATACACCACCACACCCAGCTGCCAGGTGTTTTTTCAAAAAATGTTTTTATTCTACTAAAGAGCATATTGAAGTTGCCTTCCGCCTACTGAACATAAAGTGCAAAAATACGGCCCAGGAAAGTGGAGAGATGGCTCAGCAATTAAGAGCACTGGTTGTTCTTGCAGAAGACCTGGGTTCAAATCCCAGTACCAACATGGTGGCTAACAACCATCTGTAACTCCAGTTCCAGGGGATCTGACAGCCTCTTCTGTCCTCCGCCCACATTGCACGACAATGGTACACCTACATATATGCAGGCAATACACACATACACATAAAATAAATAAAAAAAATATGGTCCAAAGTAACTCTGAACTTTCAGTGGGATCCTTATGTAAAACATACACTCCATGACTACTTTGGTTTTTCTTTCAAAAGCCCACCATTTTTGCTCCTTGGAGAGAGGAGTAAGATGGGGCACTGAAGTTGATCCCTTCAGCATAGCTTTAGGGCTCAGGATTTAATCACTCATTCTGTCTAGATGTCTGGCTCTAAGACAAAACTTAACAGTACAATAATTTTAAGGAGAAAAAAACCATTGGGCATGCATCCTTCTTTCTAAGGGTTTTGCACTGGGAGCACCGGCTGACCCTGACGGAGAGGACTGCAGACATGGAATCTGTGCACGGTCACAGTCCCTGCAAGCGCTGCAAGAGGAGAACTGCAGGCCCCATCTGAGCCCCCTGCTCCCCAGTGCCAAGCCCTGTTTAGGTAAGAACTTCCAAAGGTGTCCCCTGCCCTGGGGCTGGTCTCTCTCAGGGATGCAGGGCTCACCGAAACGAAAGTAAAACAGAGGCCGGCTCCCCGCCGCGCTGGCCGCCCGCTCCCGGGCTGCAGCTTCTCGGATGTCGCACACCCCGATGTGGGCGGAGCGGAACGGTCTCCTCGGCGCGCCTTCACCGGGCTGCAGTCTACACCGAACCACGGCAGCTCCATTCGCTGCTGTAACAAGTTGAAAAAAAACTAATTAATTCAAACTTTAGTTTTTTTTAAATTTGTTACAGCGCTGAACAGAGCTGCCGACCCCATGCAGAAACAGCACACAGACCACCAGGGCTCTGCTCGGCGCAGATGCCCCTGCCTCCAGCAGGCTCGGGTTCGGGGAGGGCTACAGAACCGCCCAGGGAGAGCCAGGCTCTGCCTCCTCTCCCTGTTCCGGTTGGCAAGCAAGCCAAAACCCAGCCTCGCAAAGGACTCGGGTTGGCCAACAGCCTTTCCTCTAGGCCACGAAGGACATTCACGGCCATCATCAGCAAGCGGCCTGGCCTGTAGACAACACATCAAGGGTTCTCTCCCGAGCCCAGGGAAAGGAGGTAAGGGAATACACCCCCAACACTGTCCCTAAGCCTTTCATCAGGACTTCCACAGCCTGTTTACTTTTTCTTACAAATGAAGCCAGACCTCTTCCTTCACAGCCAAACCACAGGAAATCCATCCCCTAGCTAACACACATTTATACCAACTTCCTCAAAAACCATAGGAGTTTTAAGACATGAACAAAAATCACAATTGCAAAACGACAAGCACAGTCCAAACTCGACACTAAGCTCAGTTTCCTGGAATATGTGGCCCTAAAACTCCCTTTCCATGAGAGATGTGTACCACTGGGCATCAAAGCCAGAGAGGGAGCAGAAACTGGTGTGCAGGTGCCTGCAGCAACACAAACCTGTCTAGGTTTTGTTCCATCAGCGAAAATTGTAGACTTTCTGTTTTCACCTTGTACCTTGAGGGGGGGGGGTACATTGCTTGCCTTAGCTTTGAGTGCATTCCTAAAGCTTCAGATTATTGAAGGTCACCCCCCAAGTGACCTGAAGTGACATGGGAAATGGGGCTGGAACTCCAATGCAGAACCATGCTCAGGAGCAGTCTCTAGCGCTGTCCCTAGTAGCAGTGGCATGACTGGCACCTGGCACTTCGTAGTACCAGCAGACCACATTTTACCACCTTCTCTCAAAGCACAGCCCACCTTTACTTACCTTCCCAAGCAGGAGATCACATTATTTTCTAGTTTTCTCATCCCAGGACATCTTGAATTAATTTAAACTATAATCAATAGCAGTAATTAATTCACCAAACCAAAAATCATGTTTAAATCACAAAAACTCCTATTTTATGATTATAGTGTTTCAAAGAAATCAGTGTATTCTTGATTTCTACCTACAGATGAAATATCTGTTAAATTTTATTAGGTTTATGGAAAAACCACATGTGCCTTCAATATTCTCAAAATCTATACATAATTTATACAAAGGAGTTGGTTGTGGGGACTGTGCATGTCAAATGTGTGCTCTTTCATGCAGATTTATGAATAACGGAAGCACCTCTCTTAAATGTGGCAATGAACTAGACAATCTATATACCATTCAAGGTTTACGTACTTGGAGGCTGGGGAAGGTAGGCTCCAATTAATTTTGACCTCTTCTTTTCATATCCCTTTTGTGTGATGTCACCTGTAAGAGAAGGAAGAAAAGAACACATTCAGAATGGTTTCAATGGATAGAGGTGATCATTTAGTGGAGTCTGACAAAACACACCAACACTTGTAACTGTATTTTTCATTTGCTTTATAATTAAAAACTTAAAGGAAACCATTGTACATCATTCACCTTGACTTCTTCCCCTGCCCTCAAAAAAAAGAAAGAAAAAAAAAAATTGCAGCAGCACTCTTGCTACATAAAAGCTCATCTGCTCAATACATGTTCTTCCCTGGCCCCTTCTGGCTGGGTTTCCACCCTGAGGGTCCAGAATTAGAACTATGCAATCTTATTCACATCTGCAGGTGCAGGAAGCCTGCTAAATCTGCAGGGGTTCTCATTAACTTAATCAACAATGGATCACACAACTGTCTGGGCTGGAAAGCCAGCAATACCACTACAGATTGACATTGCCTTCTATTAATGAAGTTTCTCTCTCTCTCTCTCTCTCTCTCTCTCTCTCTCTCTCTCTCTTCTATTCAGACATGTCAGTCACAAGGACTTTAAACTGCTATGGTATTTTTTGAAAAATACTAAGGCCAAAGGAAGGAAGCATTAAAGTCAAAGCAAAAGTACATGGGACCTACTGAGATCTAAAAGTTGTTTACTGTTTAAACAAGACTTCAAATATAAGCCAAAGATTCACACACAGAAAACACACAAGTTAAGGGAGGTCAAACAACACCATGTCTATATTTTTTGTGTTAGGCCACTAAGGGTAGGGGCAAAATTGCCTTTATTAACATGCAGTATCTTTTCCTAACTATAAGCTCCAAAACATAATACTGATTTTGCCCTTCAATTTTTTTTTTTTTGCAAATGGACACATGTACCACTGATTTTGTTCTTGAATTTTTTGAGGGGGGGTAGAAACCACAAATTAAGTTTTCCCTTTAATTTTGGTGAAATGTCTTACAAAGTTTTTCCTCATATTCTGATCATCCTCTTGAAAGTGAAAGAATCAAGACACAATGAAAACAGGGCAAACCAATGAATAAATTACTTTTTCTAGTGCTATGGTCTTACTATATGTCATGTGACCCCTCCACTTTGGATGGCTGGCTCTACTATTCAAAGACTGCTGTGCATATCTGCCCTTAGGGCCAGTATTTAAACATAAAGATATGGAATACACATTTCTTTATCAACTAATAAACAGTTTTATGATAAATGTGTGTTATTTAGCGATTAAGAATGAAGGGATTTGTACAAATACTAAAGATCAAGCCAGCATCCATGTCTGGGTACACTTTACAACTACAGCTATCAGTGGTTCATCGCTGAGGCTGCTGCATCATTTTCAGAAGGGATTGATCTTGCCCTCCTCACCACCACATGTACACTGACACAGTCTGGAACATTTGTGATTGATGAGAACAAAGGAATGAGGTAGAGCACTGGAGGCTGGTTCTGAGTCTGCTTTCAACTTGTCCACTGGTTGTTTCTCTACAGACAACTATACTTACAAAGATGGAAAGAAATGTTTGGCTTTAAAGAAGAAGATGAAGAAAAACCAGTTTGTAAACAAGATAAAATCTCTAAAGCCTAGTTTGTATAAAGTTTAAATCGGGAATCTAGGCCCATCGCTCAGAAGGGACATGGATGCTAGCTGCTCTATTTCAACACGCCTGAGGGTGCAGAGAATAAAAAGGAATGGGGTCTCAGAGGCACTGGCACCTATTCTAACTGGCCTAAGCTGCTAGTTCCTACTCACAGAAAAAGTAGATCCCTCTATCCCTAGAAAGCAAAACAGAAGCAATCCCCAATCCCATGTGCACAGCTCCTGTGGGAAGCCCACAAGCTGACTGGAGCCCTGCAAGAGTCACTTCACTGTCCTTTGCCATGTGGGACAAAAGAGCCTTGACTGACATACAACACCTTTCCCTCACTGTAATCATTCTTTTCACATAACAGAACTACCCAAGGAGCGAGTTTTCATGTTAATTGCAATGCTGCAAAATCCATTTTGTCTCTGGCTGAGGTCTTTAAACAATCAAAACCACGGTCTGCCAAATGAAAGAGAAGGAGGAATGCCCAGAGGAAAATGAAAAGGAATAGGGAAAACAAGACTACAAGTAGAATATGGAAATAAAAGAGAATCACACTTCAGGCAAGATGCTATCTTTGTTCTAGGAAAGTGCTCAGGTGGCCTTTCCCAGCCACCTGCCCAGGATGTCCTGTAAGTCTTGATCCAGCAACTGCCTTTGCAATTTAAAATTAACTTCTAGTTGTAGTAAACCCAGTGTCATTCTACATGTTGATCTGTAAGCAAAATTCAGCTCAAGTGTCATTAATTTCTCAGCTGAACATTTAACAACAGGAGGATCATTTTTCAGGAGACTCCAACTTCAAAGGCAATGAACCCTGAACTCTCCTTACTGCAGAGCCTTACTTTGGAAAGCTCAGATATCTTTAAGGCTAAGGAGATCTAAGGACATTTTTCTCCTAGCCCAGAACTCTCTTTTGGACTCAAAGAACAGAAAAAGAGAACTTAAGACTTCTAAGTAGCTATTTTAGTTGGTTTAATAACTTAATTAGGACATTTCAACATAGGACACTAAAGAATTCCAGGTGCCCATCACCTCCAGAACCTAGGAAGGTGAAAGAAAACACTGCAGAATGACCTCTACCTGCCAATCATGGAAGACACACAAAGGTCAACAAACAGCTACACAGGTCAAATGTAGCCTTTGGGTCTGTGTTCAAAGCGGGCTCAGGTGGCGATAGTCTGTCCCTCTGAAGCACTGCTGCAGTTGTCGCTCAACCATGTCAGGTGCAAAGCCAAATTTATATACTACGTGGCTCTCTACAGAAGGGTCTGGAGGCCTCTGTCCCAAGCAATCTCCTTTATTCCTTACAACAACAGATTGGGGCAGGAGGGGAGGCTGCCCCCACACACTCTTTCTGTTTCTTAGGGTTTTGGATAGAAGGAAAATGTCTCTTCAACTCCAACTTTTTTTTTTTTTTCATTATGATCACATCCTATGATGTTACACTCTAGCTGAAACTGGAATAGAAAGTGTCCAGAGAGGAGACACTAGTGGATTATCTCCTCTGTGCATGTCTTACCCAGGTCTCTAAATGGTTCTGTCACCTCTCTTCTCTCGAAGATAACCTACAAACAACTTCCTGTTGGACTTCTCAGTCCCTACAGAAGTAGGGCGTTACCTCTGGGTTCTGAGTGGCCACAGCCCAGGTCATGGCAGTACTGTTTCTATGGGACCGTGGACTGTGATTCACGGTCTATGTCAGTTTTGTAACATGTATTCATGCATGTGGCTTAGCCTGAAAACCAGCTTGTAGAGCCTTCAGGAAAGAGTCTAGGTCTTTCAGAGCTGAGTCCCGATCTCACTACTTTACTATCCAAGGACTGTGAGTTGATGAATTTACTAATGCAGTAAGAGCCAGTGAGGAACACCAGTGTCTATCCTTGACACAGACATAACTGGACAGCAGCAACAGCAGCACACACAAACACAGCGATGATTAACTCTTTAGTGACTGTGTGGGGAACATCCATACTGATTCTATTATTTACATGTGCCAGACAACATTTCAACCTGTAGTTGCCCCCAAAATGTGCCAAGATCTGTAGCACTGAGGCTAGGCCCATTCATAGACCTAAAGCATCAGGGCTAAAAATACCATTGCTATTTTCTATTTCTATTATCCTGAACCACATAAACATAAGCATCTGGTAGCCAGAGATTCAGAAAATAGTGATAAATTCTTATTACAAATTCATAGCAGACCTTCCAGTATGAATCTTTTATGTCTTTTTTGAAACCACCAACGATTTCTATGTATGTGTGCTAGTGAAGATGCAGGCAAAAAGCTAAAGACAAGAGTTACATAACAGATGATAGATTATAATATGACAGGCAGATGTTGGCAGATGCACAGAGAATAGGTAGATAACAAATTACTAATAGGTGACAGATAGAAAATAGGAAAAATAAGATAAGAAAAATTATGGACAAATGACTGAGATGAACAGAAGCTAGCTAGTTATTTTGTACACATATCTTCCTCCTAGGTACCTCACTGGTTCCTCTCCAAGGCCTGACCACAATCAATGCCCTGGTTATCAATACTGAAGTGCAGACCCTCTGAAAGCACATGTAGTTTTCCACTTGATATCAGTTCAAGCTAAACAACAACTGGCTGCTCCTTTTCTCTCTTCACAGTGCGTCTGTGCTAAGCACAGGATCTTCAGGGTAAATCCATGCAAGCTCAGGCAGGATGGTTACATGAAAGAGGAAGCAGATCTCCAACTCTTATTTCTAAGAAAGGCTTTGCTTTCTATTTCTACAAGGCATATCACTTCATGGTTTAGAGAAGGTTAGCTAAGATTCCTTTAACTTACAAGCTAAAGGAACACCATTCAAGGCTATTTTGAAAACCAACTCCAATGAACAGCAGATGCTTCTTAGATGCTAAAGAATTTTGTTGATTCTAAATGTGTATCTAAAGAGTTTCTTCCTTCAAAAGTAGTTACTAACATTAAAAGACTTGAACCACAGAACTGCTTGAGCATTTTCCACAGAAAACTCCACAAAGCATATTCCCCATGCTTTAATGCCCAAGATACTTATTTATTTGATCCCCTTTTCACTTTATAAGTATGAAAGCATGGCAGAAGTTAGTGCAGAAATTTTAACTTCAAGGAGAAATTAAGAGTGATTTCTTGAAATGCCATCCAATTCATGAAAAATACTATTCATTATTCTCAAACAAGTTCTGTAACACTTAAGATTCCAACAGTAGAAATTAAACTAAATTTTTATTTTACTTTACAAAGGTGCAGGCTTGTAATCCTAGTTGCTTGAGAGGCTGAGTCAGGAGGGTAACAAATTCAAGGCCAGCCTGAGCTAAACATAAGACCCTATCTCAAAAAGTAAAACAAGGACTAAGAATAAAGTATTCACTAAGCATGTCCAAGGCCCTACATTGAATCCCCAGTACCACAAGAACAA